GTATAGCCCTGGCTGTCCTGGAACTCACTCTGTAGACCAGGCTGGCCTCGAACTCAGAAATCTGCCTCCCTCTGCCTCCCAAGTGCTGGGATTAAAGGCATGTGCCACTACCGCCCGTCTAGATCTTTAAAAAAAAAAAAAAAAAGCTAGCCTTCTGCTCTCTGCCTTCTGTTGAAAGTCTAGAATTTGCTTTTGAGTCTTGGGCCTGAGTTCTGGTAGTTGGTCTGCCTCCAGAAGTGCCTGACCTGAACCACAGAGTTGTAGGATTTGCTTGCCTGCTTTTTCCAATAGTTTCCTGTACACTAGCCCCTGGTTGCATCTGTGAGCAGCAGCACTTGGAGCGGCCTGATGGGAGACCATAGAGAAGCTGGGCTCAGGCCCCCTCTGTCTCCTAGAGAAGCCTCCCTAAGAAAACACTGATCTGTGATGCTCTTCCTTCTGCCTTCTTATTGAGGTTTAATTGAGAAGAAAGCCTGGCCTTTCATTTTTAGAGTTTTCTTTTTCTATAACTTTCACAACTTAGCATATAATGCTGGCTGTTGACATTAAAAGAATTCTGTTACTCAAATAAGCCTTCCACAAACCCAGACAACATGATTGCCTCTGGCAGTACTTATTATAGGGGAAAATGATTGATTTTTTTTCTTGTCTTATTATTTTTCAGGTTTTGAATGAAGAATGTGATCAGAACTGGTATAAGGCAGAACTCAATGGAAAAGATGGCTTCATCCCCAAGAATTACATAGAAATGAAACCACATCCGTAAGTCAGACTCTGTGGTGTTCCTAAGCAAGGGGCTTACCTGCGTGTCTCAAGTACTGTTTCAATTTGGATTGGGGGGGGGGGGGGGGTGGGGGGGGAGGAGTCTCACTATGTAGTTGTTGTTGTTGCTCCTGGGCTTGCCCTGTAGACCAGGCTGGCCTCAGAGACAACCTGCCTTCACCTGCCTACTGTTCCACCATGCCTGTGTTGGTTTGGTTTTGTGAGATAGGCTTAAAGTCTTAATGAAGAAATCAAAATAATAATGAAGAAATCAAAATCAGTTTAAATGGCAAATACATGTTAGATTACTGGACCTCTGTCCTTGGTTAAGAATGTCGCTTGCCTGAGATCTCTGCAGCCTAAGATAGGGTCCAGCTTGCTCAGAGGCAGGCTCAGATGAGGATAAACCTGAAGAAGTTCCGAGACTCCAAGCATGACGTCCTTACCGCTTCCTGTGGTGGGAATAAACCCATGTTGCACTCCTACAGCCATTTAGTCTTGGGTGTTTTTGGTTTTTTTTGTTTTTTTTTTGCTTCAGGAAGTTTTATGGGCTTTTCACAGACAAAACAAGAATATGCTGGTGGAGAAGCTGGGGAGGAAGAGGCAGGCGGGTCCTGGGAGTTGAGACCAGCCTTGTCTATAGTAGATAGATTAGCCAGGGGTCCATAGTGAGACCCTCCCTGCCTTTGTTTGTTTGTTTGTTTGTTTTGGTTTTGTTTTGTTTTCCTAGAGGGAAGGAAGGAAGAAAGGAGAATATAAAAAGTGTACACGGGGGAAAAACACGTGTGTGCATGAGCCCACAGACACCAAAAGGCGGCATCATTCCTCTGGAAATGGAGTGACAGGTGGATGGGAGCCCCCAGTGTGGATGATGGGAACCCATCCTCTAAAAGAGCATGAAATGTTCTTAACCTCTGAGCCATCCCTCTCTACCCGCTCTCTTCTCTTCCTTCTCTCTCTACCCCATCCTTTCATCCTGGGGATTGAATAATAAGTAAGCGTTTATCACTGGACTGCACTGGAGTCTCCCAAAATTTATGCTTTAATGATCCATTAGGGCTGAGCTTGCTTTAGCATGCACAAAGCCCTGGATTCTACCCTAGCACCATAAGAAAAAATAGTTTTTAAAAATAAATAAAAACTGTAAAGGGGTGTGGTTTCCTGGTAGAATGCTTGCCTCAAATCCACAAGGCCCTAGATTCCCAGCACTAGAGCAGAGAAGAAGGACTGTAGTAGTGAGTGCTTATCCCCTGGCAATCCACAAATGCTGGGCCAGCCTAGAGGCTCACAGGCCTGACAGCTGAAGTACAGTTCTCAAACCCAGGGTGGAGAGAGGGAGCAGAGTCTCAAATGTTGTCTCTGACATCCACGGTGCTTCCTGTCATGTGAGTACCTGTGCATGTGCATGCACACACAATAATCAATTTTTTTCTTTTTTCTTTTTTTTTCAACAATAATCAATTTTTAAAAATTAAAGAAAGGGGGAGCCTGAAACTGAACAGTTGGATTGTGGGACATTAAAAAATGGAGTCCACTACAGAGTGAGTTCCAGGACAGCCAGGGCTACACAGAGAAACCCTGTCTCGAAAAACCAAACCCAAAAAAAAAAAAAAAAAAAAAAAAAAATGGAGTCCACTTAGGCTGGGAGCCATAGTTTCCTGACTGCTGCTTGGGCTTCGCCATTTCCCCTTTACATAAAGAGTTTCAGGGTGGGAGTATAGGGACCTATGATCCCATCACTTGAGGTTGAGGCAGAAGTATTGGTCGTTCGGGGCTAGCCTGGACAGTTGAAAGGGCTTTGAGGGTGTTAGCTCAGTGCAGGCGAGTTTAAGCAGCTTCAGTGAGCCCTGGGGTCAGATCCTTCCTGCTCTCAGTAAGTAGCTAAGCAGGAAGCTCAGCATGATCGACCGGGGTTATTGAGGCTGGCTGAAGGACAGTCCATGGGCTCCATTCCCACTGTGAACTCTGCAGAAGGAAGTTGACCACACAGGAGCCTTTCTCCAGGTCACACTGCTGTCAAGGCTACTTGTTCTGGTTGTCTGTGACTTCACAGGCTCAGTTCCCACTCTGGAACTGCCACATGGTCTAATAATGTACAGGACGCTTAGTGCGGCACCACAGTGCAGTGTGCCAGAGGCCAGCCTCCCTTACCTTTGTTTGGAGGGGAAGAGGGCAGTCACACAGGTGACTGCCAGCCACCTGATGATGCGCTTGTCCAATGAAGACCAGCTACAGTGGCTGCCACTGCAGTGCTGCAGTGGGAGTTGTGTGTGCCCAGCAGACCACACACACTTCATAGTAAGTGCATGTGGGCAGGGCCTGTGATGTGCTATAAATACTGCACTGGAAAATACATCTCTCCTACCCTTGCCTTCCTTGCTTGCTATTTCTAGGGTAGTACACACCAGTCCAGTCTTTTTTAAAGATTAGCAGAACATTTGTCTGTAGGCATGCAGTCATGCATAAATATCATCATTAAAAGAAGTCTGTCGAGCTTGGAGTAACTCAGTGTTCAAGGACTAGCCCGGTGTGCTCAAGGCCGTGGCTCCTGCCTCTAGCACTGCAGTACTTTTAGAACCAAGAACCAGTAATACTTTTAGACGCTCATTGGGTTTGTAAATAGCCTGTGAAGGAGTGTCAATGGCCGGATGCTATGTGCTGTTCCTCCTGCTGCTGCTGGAAACTGGAGACTGTGTGTACTCAGTGAGCCAGGAGCAGGCAGACAAAGTTTTGATCTGTAAAAAATGGTTTACAAACTAATGTTTTTGTTCTGTTTTAGTTTTTGAGACAGGGTTTCACTATGTAACCCAGACAGGCCTTGAAGTTATAGTTATCCTCCGGCCGCTTCCTTCTTAGTGCTAGAATTACAGGTATAATTCTAGAACTAAAAATTTTAAATTGAAAATGAAATTGTGTTGATTCTTAAGTTGGGAATAAGAAGCACTGGGGCTGACACAAATGTAGGATTCATGCTGGTAAGGGAAGGTGTAGATGCCCACACTGCCTGCTGCCAGCAGCTCTGCCGAAGCGGGTGGGGCTCGAGGGAAAGTATTCCTTTTTACTCTTCCTTAATGCACATTTAGGCCACTTTAATTTAAGTCTACTGCTTTTATAGCTTAAAAAAAAAAAAGAGGGTGAATACAGTCAGAAAGCATTATTTGGAATTCTCAGAAAAGTAATTGTTTAAAAAGTATGTGCTGAGCTAGAGAGATGGCCCAGCAGTTAAGAGTGCCGACTGCTCTTCCAGAGGTCCCGAGTTCAATTCCTAGAACCCACATAATGGCTCACAACCATCTATAATGAGATCCAATTTCCTCTTCTGGTGTGTCTGAAGACAGCTACAGTGTACTCATATATATGAAATAAATAAAATAATCTTTAAAAATAACTAAGTAAAAAATAAAAAGTATGTGCTTGGTGGTTCTGGAAGGGAGAGGGTGGCTGTTGAGAACATTTGCCCCTGCCCTGGTAAGTGTGGAGAGAGGGAGCTGTCACTAGGGATCAGGCTGTGGCCACCCTGGCCAGACACTGCTGTACCGTATGTACAGTCAGCCCTTAAGAGTACCAGAGATCACAAAAAAAATGGACTGTATCCTCAAAGCTTCCCTGGTCTCTTGGGGTGATTCTGACTGTTAGTAGGGAATTTCCCGTCTGTGGTCTGCTTCCTGGGCACTGTAGGCTTCAGAAGCATCTGTAGAAACAGAAGGGATGAATCTCCACAGCCTGGCGTCAGAGATGCAAAGTGAGAAAGACTTGAAACCTACATTTGGGTGTATTTAGATACATTCGGGCAGTTTCTAGGGTACCCTTCCTAGCAGCTTCATGTCTAATACCTGAATTTCAGTTTTAGTCTGGCAGAGTTCTTTTAAAAATACTTTGCAGGATAGTTGTTTATTAAGATAGCCATGAGCTCTGCCTGTGGCAAATGCCCATAATTCTCAGTACTTGGTAGGCCATTGTAGGCCAGACATGAAACCCTGTCTCAAAACAAATATCAGCCTTGGTGACTTATTCCACTTCTTGGATAGGTAAGCAGGAGTGGGAGAATTCCAAGCCAGCCAGATTGGGCCACAGACTTCTAGGACAGCGTCAGCTACCATATGAGGCCCTGCCTCAAAACAGCCTAAAAGACACCAGTAGGACTGAAAAAGTTCTTAGTAAGCAAAGCACTTGTCACACAAGCTAAATGACCTGAATTTGATCTGATCCCTAGAACTCACAAGAAGCTGTAAGGACAGAATGACTCCACAGGGTTGTCTTCTGACCCCTCACGGATATACTGTGGTTTGTCAGTCCTTATCCTGGGTGTCAGGGCTTTCCTAGGTCTCTCCTGATGAGTGAGTAAGGGGCAGGAGGGCTTTGGCCCCAGAGACCAGCTTTCAGACTGCATGATTGGAATGGTCTCCATGTAGACTGAAGAGTGGCCTGTGTTGCTGCCTTGACTCCTCATCTGTAGAGTGGAGTGGGTGAGCTCCATCTCGGGAAGGCCCTGAGCCAGACAGTAGCCTTGGGGAGCCTTAGGCAAGAGCAGCAGGTAAAGATGCACCCTCTTCCTCTGACGAGGAAGGCATTTACATGCCAGGTCATACATCCCGTCTCTTTGTAGGGAAGCAGATGTTGACCAGCTTGCCTTCCTTCCTTAGGTGGTTTTTTGGCAAAATCCCCAGAGCCAAGGCAGAAGAAATGCTTAGCAAACAGCGGCATGATGGGGCCTTCCTAATCCGAGAGAGCGAGAGTGCTCCTGGGGACTTCTCCCTGTCTGTCAAGTAAGTATTTCCTGCTGGAGTTGCCAGAGAAGCTGCCGCCATTGACTGGATTGTAAGGCTGCGGGGCAGAGGTTCACATAGGTTTTCCTGTGGAAATCCTAGTGTTTGCTCTAAGGCCTACTTGTAGCAGATCCGAGTTTTAGGTTCGCAGTGTCATGAACCTGTGGGAACTGACAGCACTCCTTCCCGTCCTGCCATCACTGCGGTTTCTGCCACTCTAAGGATAACTGCGTGCACCACAGCTCCCATTGTTCACCTGGACAACACTTGCTTTCCATGAGCCTAGTGGGCTGTTGTCTCAGAAATCCACATAGGAATTGGGCATGTGGGTCTCCGTGAGTTCCAGACCAGCCAGAGCTACACAGTGAGACCCTGTCTAAAAGAAAGAATGACTTTGTAGTCTGGCTGATCACCCTTTTTTAGTTAACATGTTACTGCAGAATCCCACCCCAAAATTCATCTTTTTTTTTTTTTCTTCTTTAAAAAAAAAACAAAACAAAAAACACAGACTCTTCTCTGCACTCCAGGCTGTCCAGGAACTTGCTAGGTCGCAGAAACTTTCCTCAAATTGATGGCAGCCTGCTTGTCTCTGACTTCTGAGTACTGGGATTGCAGGCACGAGCAGCTAAATCCTCCTGCACTCTTTCTCTGTGACGAGGTTAGGGAGCCCAGTGTCTCTAACCCAAGTGCCAGGGAAGTGAGAAGACAGACTCTCAGGAGTCAGCTTGCTTTCTCTGCCATCTTGTGGGGTCTGAGGTTTAAACCCCAATTTGTCAGACCTGAGCACATGTGCCTCTACTCACTGAACCACCCTACCAGACCTGACTGTTATCTTTTAGATCCTTCAACTAGGGTCTTTTTAAATGGCCCACACTGGGAGCGCGGGTGTAGCACTTTGAGGGACCTGGCTTCCATCACTAGCACCACGATAAATGAGTGAAGGAGTGAGTTACCCAGACCAGCCTTGAACTCTGAGTCCTGTGCCTTCACTTCCTGAAGTAGGGAGGAATGACAGGCCTTCAGCACCAGAACCACGTGTTCTCTGAGTGCAGAGGTGAGAGCTTTTGGGTGAGACCTGACGCCTCAGGAGGTTTGCAGTACTTTTCTTCTTATTTCTTTTTTGCTTTGTTAAGACAAGATTTCTCGGTGTGGTAACCCTGGCTGTCCTGGAACTTTCATCTGTAGACCTCAGACTTTTTTTTTTTTTTAACTGAGTATGATAACAGTTTCCTCTTATGACCGGGTTTTTTGGCGTTTTTTGGTTAAGCACATGCAAGTAAGGGTCACACAGAGCACCCTGCTCTGGGTTTGTAGAGTTGGCACTTTATGCTTCTCAGTCGCTTGTGTGTCATCTGCTTTCCGTTGCCTGGACTGCTCCAAGCAGCAGTAAAATAGCTCAGGAAGGGGACACAAGGGAGGAGTCAGTAGGTAGTGGCCCGAGCGCTGGGCAGTGCTGGGCTGGAGAGCACCTGTCGTGATGTGATGATGACATTGGGAAGGCCAGCTCTTCCTTCCATCAAAACAACCGTGTAGGGATGGAGACCTAGGACAGCTTGCTTAGCACTGCCAACAACTGAGTGTAATCCCAGCACTTAGGAGGTTGAAGCAGGAGGATTATAAGTTCTGGGTCATCCTTGGCTAAGTAGCTCAAAGTCAGCCTGAGCTCCATGAGACCCTGGCTAATGGCATGGCTCCGTGGGTAAAGGTACTTGTCATCTAGCTAGGTGACCTGTGTTTGATTCCCAGGACCCACATTGTGAAAGGAGAGAACTGAGTTCCACAGGAGTCCCCCTGACCCATGCCTATGCCCACCACAGACATGCATATCTAGAGAAATGTGATTTTAAAGTTAAACAGAAAATGTTTAAAGATGTTAATATATCATCACTCTAGGAATAAAACATAAGAGGTAAATGGCTCAGTTGGTAACTACCATGCAACAAGAGGACGGAGTTAGTGCCCTCAGTGCAAACACTAGGGGGGGAGATCCCTGGAGCTGTGGCCAGCTAGCCTCACCTAATCAGTGAGACATACTTCAGACCAGCGTTGACAATAGGTTTCCAAACACATGCACATACATGTGCATTCATACCCCGTGGACATGTACATACACAACAAGGAAACATGAACTACTGCCTCTAATGAGACATCTTCACAAGGGCCTTCCATCAGCACTGGGCTCTAAGGTAGTGCACTCGTTCTGAGACCTTCGGAGTCTGGTGGAAAGCTGTGGTGGGAGTTACCCCACACTCGGGAAGTGGGTACATTACAGAAGGCCTTTGGGCCTTAGGAGCTGGACAGGGCCTTTGGATCCAGAGCCACTGTCCTCTTGAAACCGCCTCCATTGCTTCTCAGTGAAAACATGATAAGGCTACCAGCTGCTTTGGTCTTGTTTTCCTCCATTTCAGTTATCACAGGCCAGCTGGAAGTCCCAGAAATAATTCCTGGATTTTAGATAACTTTTATGATAGTATATTTGTATAATTGTTTCAGTGAAAATAAACTTTATCAGATTATATGTGTCTATAGGGAAACAGTGCATCTGGAGTTTGGTATCTGGTTTCAAACTTGCCCTGGATGTGTTTGGAAGCACTAGGGTCCTCTATCCCCAGCTGGAAGCTCGGTGCTGCCATCTGCTGGTTTGTCTTTAGAACTGCTGTACCTTTTTAAAGCCTTAAGACTAAAGAAGAGACTACTGGAACAAATTGAAAGACTTGGCAATAACCGGGAAGCAGGGTGCTAGCCAGATGTCACCAGGGCACAGCCATCCAGCACAGTCAGTCACATCAGACAGTCAAGCTGACCGGTGCAAAAGAGCATGTTGTTCCAGTGATGGAGCATTTGTCTCTTGATACTTAGGTCTTGTTACTGTGAGAAAGAAACACAGTATTGAAATTCCTCGGTGAAAAGCATGGCTTTGGCATTCCTGTAATCCCAGCAGTGGGATGCTGATGCAGGAGGAGCACCATGAATTCTAGACCGACTTAGTGAGCTCAAAGCCAGCCTGAGCTAGTGCTTGACTATCGGCACCACTCTTTGAGCTGTTACGGCAGATAAAGCTGTAGCTTCATAAGTGGACAGCTGTTATTAGAGCCACAGATGTCTCAGAGTTAACTAGTGGGTGGGCTTCCACTCTGTGAGTGTTACTCCTGTAACTAGTGACCAGCAGGAAGGAGGGCTTTAGGGGAGGCTCCCGGGATGGTCCCCATTCTCTCCAGCTGGATACTCAGGGTGCTGTGCAGCTGTTGTGTCCCCAAGCTCTGAAAAGCTATGCCAGACAGCAGTTCCCTGGACATCTTTGGGGCTTGGGACAGCCCCACAGAGCCCTGTGGCTGCTTCATGCCTGTTCTCCCCATCCTCAGGTTTGGAAATGACGTGCAGCATTTCAAGGTACTCCGTGATGGGGCCGGGAAGTACTTCCTGTGGGTGGTGAAGTTTAATTCTTTGAATGAGCTGGTAGATTACCACAGATCAACATCCGTGTCCAGGAACCAGCAGATATTCCTACGGGACATAGAACAGGTGCCACAGGTAAGCAAAGAGCTCTGCTCACTTCCGGCAAGTGTGAAGGCCCAGGCATGACCACCACAGTGACCTCCTATGTCTGTTCAGGCCGACCTCATGGTCTGCAGTTGGTATATGGATGGTTGTGTCCCCAGGCACCTGTGAGGGATGCAGTCTGCACTCATTCCTCCTTACATATGAGCAGGAGTTCTGGTTGGGACTGCCTCATTTATAGTGATGGGAACACAGATATTATTTTCAAACCTGTTAAGAGAACTCAGGTACACATAGCCCAAAGTGTTTGCTCCTCCCCACTAGCTAATATTGGCTATTCTTAGTGACGTAGGTGTATGTACTCCTGTGGGTTTTAAATATTAATAAAGGATTCCTCTAAGCCCACCTAGGGGGACTTAGGAACATGTCAGAGTAGAGGGAGAGAGGTGGGAGGCTGCTTTGGAGAGCGGGTGCTCGCACATGCTCACCCTCTGCTAGGAGTCCAGCTTAGAAGGCACCTGGCAGCGTGAGAAAGACCATTGCCCTGCGCTCTCTTGCAGCAGCCGACGTACGTCCAGGCGCTTTTCGACTTTGACCCCCAGGAGGACGGTGAGCTGGGCTTTCGCAGAGGAGACTTCATTCATGTCATGGATAACTCAGATCCCAACTGGTGGAAAGGGGCCTGCCATGGGCAGACCGGCATGTTTCCCCGCAATTACGTCACCCCAGTGAACCGGAACGTCTAAGAAGCAAAAGATTATTTAAAGAAAGTGAAAAGTTGAGAGCGTTCACAAGAATTACACCCACACGCTGCCTGTCACAGGCTGTGTGGGAACGCAGAACACCTGGCTGGGTCCCATGGGCGACCCTCTCACTTAGGTTGCAACTTTGGGGGGTGGGAAGGGGTGTTTGATTTCATAATGCCAAAACTTAACCTATTGAATGAATTACAATTTTTATTACGGAATCTCGCCGCTACTCCTGTTCCCCTCCTGTGTCCTTTTTCTTGTTCTTTCTTTGCTGTCCAGTGCATGATGTTTAAGGCCACATATAGTCCAGCTGATGCCAATAATAAAAGAAAAGAAACCAAGTGGGCTGTATTTTCTCTATGCAAAATGTCTGTGGCGATGGATGGACTAACAGAGCCAGGTTCTTCACACATGGTGGCCAGTGCGTCTGGGGCCCTTGGTCGGGGTTCTACCAGAGATGGCCCAGGGCATCTGCTCCTCCCCAGCCTCAGGCCTGGAGCATTCCATCAAAGTTGGAGTTAGGGGAAGGAGGCCCACTGCCCATCAATGGTCTCCTGAGAGTCAGACTGAAGACCTGCCCCTCCCACTGCTTCCCTTCAGGTGTCTCAAGACGTTGTTTTCATAGTGCCTTTGTCTTATTTCAAGGGTGTTCATGAGTGGTGTTTTACCTTTTTTTTTTTTTTTTTTTTTTTTTTTTGAGTTAAAGGCAGTCCAGAGCTTTTCAGTTGGTTAGTCTCCTCCTGTGTAAATAGTTTCCTCTCAGGGCAGGGGAAAGAGTGCAGAGAAAGGAGCTGGTAGAAGCAGAGGGTGTATTTCCCATCTTGATTGGGTCAGAGGTCTCAAAGTGTCAACTTTGACATTGTGAGATGATGTGATGCTGGCTTCAGCTCAGACTCACCGGATATCAGAGTCCCTGCCCTCCTGGTGTCAGTTGCAGTCTGCCCTTTCTATGCCTGGAGCCACTAAGCATCAAAACACAAGACAGGCAGAGGAGCGGGTGGCACCCTTCACTCTCATAGGGCTGCGGGCAGATGGGAGTTGAAAATATTGGCCTTTCGTTTTTCTTGCTCTTACAATTACGTCCTCGCTCTCAATTGTGTATTTTCCCATCTGTCCGAGTGTGCAGATGGCAGGAGTGTGGGCTTGGTTGCATCTCTGTTCACACTGGGTTGTGTTTGCAATTGCTCTGCTGCCCCGCTGCCCCACTGCCCCACTGCCCCCATGCCCCCATGCTATGAAGCCTTTTGAGGTAGGAAAGACCAGGACCAACGCAAAGCTTTTTAAATCTTGTCTCTTGTGAGCTTTCCACCCTCTGTAGTCACGTGCCTGCACATCGGTTCTCCCTTCCGCAGCAGAAACAAGGCTACTCCCGTGTCCGCCCTTGGAGTTGGTGGCATCCATGGGCTGCTAGACTCGTGAGGGTGTAGTCTCCCCTGGACTGTTTTGTGCGATGGACTCAGCTCGGAGCACCCCTAAGGCCCCCGAGGCGGGTGGAACACGTTCCCACCCCTCCTGGTTCTGCTGCTGCTTTCCCTGCTGATAAAAGTAATCTCTGGAGTTACACCTGGGCCGTTTGATTGTTTATTTTGGAGTTGGTGTATATCATGAAGCCTTGCTGAACTAAGTTTTTTTGTGTATATATTTAAAGATCAGTGTTTAAATAAATAAAAAAAAAACCTATGTACTTACTCCTCTAACGTCTGCGGATAGCAATTTGGTAGGTAGTGATTAACTGTGAATAAACATGCAATGAGTTCTTAACTGTGTATCTTCATTTCTCCCTGATGATGTTTTGATTTTATTTTGTAGACAGGGTCTCACCGTGTTGCCCTGGCTGGCCTGAAACTCACAGAGATCCACCTGCCTCTGCCTCCCAAATGCTGGGATTAAAGGCTCAGAGTATGTTAACAGTGGCTGCCATATCCAGACCCTCTGATCCCAGGACAAGTGCTGTAGTTTCATCATCTGGAAATTAGTTTAAACAAGAATTTTGGGCAACCCAGAGCTGGGCTTGTAAGGTTCTTCCTTACAGTGTGGGAGGGCTAATAATCTCTGAGGAAGTAGCTGAGGCAGCTGCATGACGCAGCTATGACAGTCCCTTTTAGGGCGAGGGAAGTCGGGTAACCACACAGGACTAGCTGTGATGCAGATATGACACTCTCCCTGAGCCCCCTTTTTGTTCTTCAGGTGATCATTGTATGTCCCAGATTTCCTGATGTTTGTATCCCTGCTCCTCCCACAGGTGAGATTCCTGGTGAGGTGTCCAGGCTGTGTATGTGTGCCCAGGGCCAGCGTATGTGTGCCCAGGGCCAGCATATGTGTGCCCAGGGCCAGCTCAAATGCGTCACATGATAAAGACTAGTCTATGCAAGACCTTGAGGGTACTACTAGCCAACCTGTCCCATCATAGTGGCCCTGCTTGTCCCTGCTGGTCTCTCCTGGTCCCAAGACTTCATCTAGCACCAGGAGCCAGGTGTAGAAAGAGATTGTAAATGCTATGATGAACAGCTAAATGCTTCTAGGTCATCTTACAGCACAAGCCAGCTGTCTTGACACTGTCCCCTGGGCCTGCTTATAGGCTAGCTGACCTTCAGGCCCAATTTTTCTTTAAGATTTTTTTTTTTTTTTATGTATATATGAGTACACTGTTGCTGTCTTTAGACACACCAGAAGAGGGCATCAGATCCTATTATAGATGGTTATGAACCATCATGTGGTTGCTGGGAATTGAACTCAGGACCTCTGGAAGAGCAGCCAGTGCTCTTAACTCCTGAGCCATCTTTCCAGCCCCCACCCCCAGGCCCAAATATTTTATTTAGGAAAGTTCCTAGATAGGGGAAGTCCTCGTGGGTTCTTGTGAATGTGTCTTAAAATACCCTAGTAAGAATTCCCCAGATCGGGGCTGGAGGGATGGCTCAGTGGTTAAGAGCACTGACTGCTCTTCCAGAGGTCCTGAATTCAATTCCCAGCAACCACATGGTGGCTCACAACCATCTGTAATGGGATCTGATGCCCTCTTCTGATGTGTCTGAAGAGAGCAATGGTGGTGTATTCATATATATAAAATAAATAAATAAATCTTTAAAATAAATAAATAAATAAATCTTTAAAAAAAAAAAAAGAATTCCCCAGATCTGAGTCTTCTGGTCCTCAAAAAGGATATTGGAGGGCTTCCATATATGTTCTTTTAGGAGCATTTGGGGATTTTTGGCTTTTATTTTTATTTTATGTTTTTTGTCTTTTATTATTTTTTGTATATTTTAACTTTTTGCAACAAGGCCTCACTGTGTAGCCCTGACTGGCCTGGAGCTAAGATTCAGTCTTCCTCTAGATGCTGGTTTTTGTGTGGTTGGTTCTGTTTCAAAGTTTTGGAGACTTTTTTATTTTATCTGTTTGGGTGCTTGAATATTGTCTGTGAATGTGGTGCCCTAGAAGGCCAGACCTAAAACTGGAGTTATAGAAGGTTGTTAGCTCCATGTGGGTCCTGAGAACTGAAACTGGGTCCTCTGGGGAAAGCCAGCACTCTTCACCACTGAGCCATCTCTCCACATCCGGACTTGGTTTTGAGGTAAGATGTCCGTCGTGTAGCATAGGCTGGCTATGTAGTTGCTATGTAGCCAAGGCTTTACCTTGGATTCCTGTTCCTATGACCTTCCTTTCCCAAATGCTGGGATTTTATCTCTGGACCACTATGGACACCCTGTTTAAGAGCCGCCCCCACTCCCAAACAGTTTTGTTTTCTTTGTTTCTTTTTTCTTCTTTGTATAGGGAAGGAGGCACAAAAGATGTTGGCTCTTGTATTCCAGGCCAGGCTAGCTTCAAACTCACTAAGCAGCCAAGGCTGGCCTTGAACTCCTGATCCTTCTGCCTCCACCTCCTAAGAGCCAGAACTACAGGCCTATACCATGTGGGGTCCTGGGGGTCCTTCAGCCTCTCTATGGTGGTTACCATCACAAACCTAAGAAAAAACAGAAGAGCTGTTCATACCTGTAACCCAGCACTCCAGAGGCCGAGGCAGAAGGATCAGGTTGCATTTCAGGTCACTCTGGGCTACAGAACTGAGACACTCCCCTGTCTCCAGCAAATGTTTAAGGGAGGAGGTTGAGATGGCAATCCCACATGCCAGTGGCTCTGAATACTGGTGTTGGCCGGCCCACTTTAACAATTAAGCCCAGTTGAGTTGGCTCAACAGTTGAAGGTACTTGCTACCAAACCCCCAGAGCCACCTGATGGAAGGGGGGAACTGACTGTCACACACTGGCCTCTGATTTTTTTTTTTTTTTTTTTTTTTTTTTTTTGGTTTTTTGAGACATGGTTTCTCTGTGTAGCCCTGGCTGTCCTGGAACTCACTCTGTAGACCAGGCTAGCCTCGAACTCTAGAACTCAGAAATCCGCCTGCCTCTGCCTCTGCCTCCCAAGTGCTGGGATTAAAGCCGTGCGCCACCACCTCTTGATTTTTATACACTGTGACACTCATGTGCCCATACACAAAAACCCTTTAAAAATGTAAAATATAAGATTGCCAGGCAGGATGACACACACCTTGAAACACAGTACTCTGGAGACAAAGGCAGGAGGAACTCTGAGTTCAAGTCCAGCCTGCTCCCTACATCGATCTCCAGGCCTGCCTGAGCTACACAGTGAGACCTTGTCTCTACGTAAAGACAGGGAGGTGGTAGAGATGATACTTGCTGATAATCCCAGGACTGAAGAAGATGGAGACTTCTAGGCCAGCCTGAGCTACATGATAAGACCAGGGCTACTGGGCCAGCTGGGGCTACATGAGGTGACTGGGTCTCAAAAGCACAATTTAACAAGCCAGCTTATAAGGCATACTGTGCCCTGTTCAAATAGAGACCACTGGGGGAGGAGATCAGACTGGACTCCTGCTCCGCTGCAAGCATGGTCTGGGGTTTCTGAAACAGTCTTCTCAGCACGCTTGGCATGGGGCTTACAAAGCACAGTGCTCTCAGTCTGAGTCAGCACCTCGACCTGTCTGTCTGCCTCCACTTCCCTTCTCTGCTGCCGGAGGCGTGAGGACTTGACATGCATCAGCCTCTCCCGTCTCCTCAGGGTATTTTTAGGACCCCAGGTGACAGTGTCCTCCTTCTCCATAGGGCACATAGGCTCTTCTGCTCTGGAACTAGAGGACTTCCCCCATGAGGCGCAGACTGAGGAGGGCCATATTCATCCTCAGTAGATCCTCCACTCCTGCCCTGAGTCATCCTGAGACTGGAAATTACCACACTTGGGTGTCCGACTTCACTGCCAGGGAGGTGGTGTTCTGCCCAGATTCACCCATGAGCTGGGTGAATTCAGACAGGAAGTGGGGGATGCAAAT